TAAACCCTGTTTATTAAGAAAAAAAAATCTTCTTTATCTTTCTCCTTCAGATCTTAATATAAATAACTTTTCAGTTGTTGTACCCTCTGGCCTTCTTCAGGGGCCTAGTTAACTCTCAGTAAATTTTAACCTGAGCCCTTTATTTAATCTCATTCCACTGTCTATATCTAGGGATATCTCATCTTGTTCTCTTTTTAGCTGTTATCATTATACCCACTTCCACTGACCCTGAGACACATGGGAAAAAATTAAATAAAATTAATAAATAATAATAAAGAATTAAAAAAAAAATCATTTTCCCATGATACAAGTAAAAAAGGAACTGGACAGAATTTAGGTCATTTGCACAAATTTTTGACCACTACTTCTGGAAAGGACAGAAGCTTTCTCTTATCACTTTCCAATGGCAGTGTTCGGATATGCTTTGCTTGACCATTTTAATCATTGTTATCTTTACTTATTCTAACTTACTTCTGAACCAAAAAAGGAAAATGCATATACCGAAGAGACATTGAAAACTTTGTCTCACTAGTCACCATAAAAAGAATAATTGGTCCGTAGTAGAAACCCAAGTTTTTGTATGCTGCTTCTTTGTTTATTATATGTGAACACACACACATACACACAACTAAAATGCACACAAATATGCCACGTGTTAACATCCATATTTCTCTTTGGTTGTTCCAACTCAGCACAAGGCTGACTTGAATGTGACCATTGTAACAATGCTTATAATGGCTTACCCTAACTTCTGGACCAAGAAAAAGAAAACAGACATCCCATTACCATATTTAAACCTCTCAGTGATAAAATAAGTATGAATCTTCCTTTGGTTGTTCCAACTCTACACAAGGCTCAACCTGGAATACAATGCTTTTGAACTAAGAAAAAGAAAATGCACATACTGAAGAGACATTGAGAACTTTGTCTAACTAGTCACCATAAAAAGAATAAATGGTCCATAGTTGAAACCCAAGTTTTTGTATGCTTCTTCTTTGTTTATCATAAATGAACACACACACACACACACACACACACACACACACACACAAATATGCCACCTGTTAACATCCCTAGTTGCTCCTTGATGATTTCCAAGGTGACCAATTTATTGTTGAGATATTTCATGCAAGATGTAGATATTTATGTGAGAAACAAATGGGGATTAAATTACAATGAAGTTAGTATGAATCTAATAATGGCTGATTTGTCAGGAAGGTGGCTTCTTAATGTTATCAGCCATGGAAGGAAACTTTGGAAACTGTTCAAAAACCATATCAAAGTTTGACTGAAGCCTAATGAGTGAAAATGAATAGACAGAATTGTTTGTTAATGGTTGTTTTAGCATGAAGTCACAAGTCATCGTGACTGAGGGTTTGTGCATACTGACCTTGTTCTAACTGTTTATCATTCCAGATGATGCACTCTCTCCTCAAAACTGTAACTAAGTTTCACTCAGCATAGTTACAGTATAGACCACATAGTGGGGGCTCTGTGTGTGTTGAACAAACATAAATGTGGTTGTGCAGGTGTCTGCAACAAGAACTGGCTAGCAGACAAGCAAACTCAGATATGAACAGTCATTATTATTATTGCATGAACAAAACTAAATAGGAAGGCTTTCAAAATGAGGTAAATTAAAGTGTATATATAAAGATGTCCTTATTTATAAATATGATGCATGTAAAGTTCTATTGAAGATGTTGAGAGACTTACATTGCGGAAGATTTTCTTCTTCACTAAAGATACCAGATTTGGGCATTTGTATGCTGTGTTGTTTTTGTGGTATACTTGGTCCATTGGGGGTGACTAAAAAGTCTGTCAGTGAAGCATATTTTGTTCTCAGGATAAAGAGAGGAAAAAACATTGCTTTCACCTGTCTTCTGATTGGCTAATTTCAATCTTCTGTCTCTCTCTTTTGTCCTATTTTTGTAATCAGCAAAAGTTCACATCTGCATCTAACTGAAATTGGCCTATTGGTTTGACCCAAAGTGTCAAAGCCATAGTGAGATTTCTAACAGCAGCACTGAAAAACTGCACTGGTTCACCCTTTCCTTCTGGGGTCAGTCAGTGCATTTTCATAGTAATTTTCATCTAAATATTCAGTTTCTAGTTTTCCAAAAGAGAGTTCTGGAAACTTTTGCATACACGTAATGACTATAATCAGTATCCTGATATAGTAAAACAAGAATTACTTTATTAATATTTTGGGCTTGACTACTGTTTACTGGGATACCTGGTCAACAATTTGAATCAAACAGTTGACTAAATGGATTAAGTCTAATTGACTAAAATAGTGATGCAATCCCATCACAATATTTTGACAAGTACACCTAAGTCCCCATTAAGTCCACCTTAATTAATTGAACTGTTGTTACTACTTGATCTTCCATTAATTGCAATTAGGTTGGATATAATAAGCTTATTAAAGGTGAGTCTAGAACAATAATAGATATGGTTATATTAGTTCTTTTTTTTTTCTTTTTATCATTTCACTCCAAGCAAGGCAATAAAGCCACTAAGATTCAAGGGGTAACTGAGTGTTAGAGAAAATGATAAAAATATACTATTGTAGTGAAAGAGATAATCAGGTACCTCGGAAAAAAGTTTGTGTTTTGTGTGCAATCTGCCGAAGAAGGAAAATTCAGGAATTTTTGGCTACGGCGTTTGTTGGGAGAGTAATCTGCGACAAATTTGCTTTTAGAACGCTTACACTTACAAGCTATTTTGGCATTTACTTTGTCTCTCGCAAGATGGTGGAAAGACCGTTCGATATAAAACTGATCCCCGAATTCAGTGGTGATACGAGTGGACAGTCTGTGGTTGAATGGATCGAAAAGGTGGAACTGGTCTGTGAATTATACGAGATCACGAAGATTGACCGGATTCTTCCACTGCGATTGAATGGCGGTGCCCTTGCTGTGTATAGGCAGCTGAGTAAAGAACAGAAAAGTGAGTGTAAGCAAGGTGTGGCACCGTGTTGGAATGGACATCACCCATTATAACGGACATCACTATTTAACCCTGATTGACTGTGGCCCAACCCGGTTCACTATTTGGCGGCGTCTGCGTTGACAGGATTCTGTAAGCGTCATTGACCACTTGGGGTCATTGTTCTTTGAACGTGGACCTCCGACGGAACTCCTCACTGACAACAACACTGCATTCCGCAGTGGACTATTCAAAGATTTTGTGGATTCGTGGGGAGTACACCTCAGATTTTGCTGCGCGTATGTCCCATCAGGGAATGGCATAATCGAGCGATGTCATCGGAGCATCAAAAGAATCGCTGTTAGGAAGCAGTGTTCCATAATGGAGGCGGTGCATTGGTACAATGTTACTCCGAGAGACAATAATGTATTGCCCTCAACTGCGCCAGCCAACATGATTTATCAGTACAAAGTCCGGCTACGAGGCATTGACGCAAGGAAAATTCGGGAATTTTTGGCTACGGCGTTTGTTGGGAGAGTAATCTGCGACAAATTTGCTTTGAGAACGCTTACACTTACAACTATTAAGGACAATAAAAGAACAAGAATTAAGACAGATGATAACAACTGACATTGCATTTAAATTTTTGAAGATCAAAGTTGACTGGAAAGCAAGAAACCAGAAGAGATTTGCACAATCAAGTGCAACAGAAGAAACTGTTAACATAGAACTTAGGGTTACATGTAGCCATTTCAACTGTAAAATGATGAAACCTAGCTGCCAATCTAGTATTGCCCTTAAATTCATAAAGTCTAGATACCATAGAGGAAAGCTCATCAGAACAATTGGCATGAAAATATTTATAGAAAAGGCACAGGGAAGCTACATTATGGCAATGGGAAAGTGACTGAAGATGCAAGATCAGGACCAATAACATTGCAATTTCTTCTTTGAAATTTATCAAGAATATCTAAATATATAGCAGGAGCACCAGACCAGGTGTGGCAGCAACATTCAATGCAAGGACTGATTGTAGATTTATAAATATGTAAGGTAGATTCTGTTGAGAAACATTGTCTTACTCGACACCTTGAAGCAACTTTCTTAGCTGTAGACTTAGTAATTGCTTCAATATATTCTTCCCATTTCATGTCAGCAGTAAACAAGAAGATGCAGTGAGCCTTAAATTATGAGTTGTTATTCCACCATAATTATCAGCAATGTACATGGATTTATTAACTCCATTTAGTAGTTTATTTTTTTCAAGTCGTTATCTTCCTCCAGGACCATGTGTATGGTAAACAAAGCTTCCCTGTGACTTTTTAAATAAATACTTTCATAGTAATTGTTCTGATGAGCTCTCCTCTTTGGTACCTAGAATTTATGAATTTAAGTGCATTACTAGATTGACTGTAAGGTCTCATCATTTTACAGTTGAAATTACTAGATGTAACTGTAAGTGCTATGCTAATAGTTTCTTTTCTCACATTTCTTGCTTGCGGAATTCTCTTCAGGCTTCTTGCTTTTCAGCCAACTTTGATCTTCAAAATTTTAAATGCAATGTCAATTATTATCTTTGGTCTTCTTAATTCCTGTTCTTTTATTGTTCTCTCTCCTTAATAATGTTTTCTTTCTTTTTTTTCTCATATTCTTTCACACTCAGTAACCCCTTGTGTCTTAGTGGCTTTATTGCCTTGCTTGGAGAGAAACGATTAAAATTTAAATGCAATGTCAACTGTTATCTTCTGCCTTCTTAATTCCTGTTATTTTATTGTTCTCTGTGTTTAATTTGTTTTTCCTCGTATTCTCTCATACTCAGTAACCCCTTGTGTCTTAGTGGCTTTATTGCCTTGCTTGGGGTGAATTGATTTAAAAAAAAAAAAAAAAAAATTGTAGTCCAGTCATATTTTTTTTCAATTATTTTGTCTCTATCCAGTCAGTTATCCCCATTAATTTTAAATTGATGTTTGATATTTAGCCTCTGTTATTTCGGTTATTTTTTTAAGCCAATTCTTGAATAAATATCTTATTCTCTTTATGAAATATAACTTTGCTTTTCTGTTTTGTAGGTGTGATGTATGCCAGTATGCAACAGGAGACCACAATTCTCTTCGACGTCACAAGATGAGGCACACTGGCTTACGGCCCTACAAATGTCAATATTGCACTTATTCGTGCATCCAAGCTATTTCGCTAAAGACGCACATGAAGAACAAGCACCCAGGCTCTTCGGGAATCTATCACTGTGATATTTGCAACTACAGGACAGTCAATTCCACCAGCTTCTCAAACCATGTCAGTGATCACAAAAATGGTTTGATTGATATGCAAGAGCCCATTGCTTCAGGCAGTGAAACAACAGTAAACACTGCATCACCCCTATCAGTAACCACAGCTCAAACAAATGTGTCCAAGAGCAAAGACAAAGTTCAAAGGTCGAGTGATATCGGCAATACATCAATCCAGGCAGAGTTAGCAACCGTTGAAAATGGGGTCACACATTTGAGTCCAGATGACATAGTTAAAATTGCTCAGGCTGGTGATGGCCTTGTATCAACAGATCTCACAGCAGCCGAATTGATTTATGCTATTGCTGCTAATACGGCCCAACAGGATAACCAGGTTTTGGCTGGTATGCAGGGTACCATAAATATATCCTCTAAACAAGGCGTGTCTACGCACACCATAACATTGCATCTGCCACCAACATCTCAATCAGGAGTTGTTACTGGCGATGCCAATTCTTCCCAACCAGGTGCAGCAGGGCAGACATTACTGATGGTTCAACCACTTGAACTATGTTCTGTGAATAATGAAGGCACTTCACAAGCTGTGTCCACTGAAAATATTCAAGTCAGTTTTGAGCAAGCAGAAAGTGCATCTGTTATTAGCTCAGAAATTGTTATGGAACCTAATGAGAAAACAGTACCTGATGATTCCTTATAGTGATTACTTGAATATAAATTGTGGCCTCTATTTTTTATTATTCACTTTCTTTTAAAAATCCCTTTATTTCTCTCTTCTCCTTTTCTTCATTTCTCGTCTTCTTTTCTCTTCTCCTTTTCTTCTTTTCTCTTCTTCTTTTCTTCTTTTTTCTCTCCATTTCTTTTTTTTTTCTCTCTCTGTTTCTTTTTCTCTCTCTCCTTTCCTTTTTCTCTCTGGCTAAAGATAAGAAAAGAGAGAGAGAAAAAGAAATTTCTCTCTCCATTTCTTTTTCTCTTTCTCCATTTCTTTTTCTCTTTCTCCATTTCTTTTTCTCTTTCTCCATTTCTTTTTCTCTTTCTCCTTCTCCATTTCTTTTTCTTTTTCTCTCTCTCCTTTTTCTTTTTCTCTCTCTCCTTTTTCTTTTTCTCTCTCTCCTTTTTCTTTTTCTCTCCAGTATTATTGCAAGTCAGACTGTAAAAACTGTTTAGACAAATATGGAGCTGAATCAAACAAACCATAAAATTCCTAAAACAACAAATTTCACTAAGTTAAACAGAGAATTTCTTATTTATTTTTTCAATTCTTTAATTGTATTTTCCATCTTATTTTTTTTTCTTTGTTACAGATCATGTTCTAAGATGCTGAATACAATAGATTGTTAGTTATTTGTGGCATGATTGAGGAGATTGTCACGGTATGCCATTAAGTTCATCATGGCATCTCTAAGGCAAGAGGGATAACTTGACAGCACCCATCTCCTCTCCGAGTATTTTTTTTAACTGTACTAGATGGACTAAATGACACTTGCAGCATGGATGAACCCTAGATAAACTAAGCTCTTCATTAACTTTTAGCACTCTGTAGGTGACTTTCTCTTGCCACTACAACTGACTCTGATGAACAATAGTGTGTTTGAATTTTGTGGCTGTGTTGCGATGTCCTACTATGGAAATAACAAAAACAACCTTCATTAAAATTGAAAATCAGGTATATGCAATAGAAGAAGTAATACTTGTGAATAATGCACAGTACTAAAAGTTAACAGTCTTGTTAGTGATTAGACCTTTATTAGGAAACCTGACATGATGACACAGTGCAGAGAGGGGTGAATTCATATCACCAGCTTTAACCAGTATTTGAACTCTGTTCACTGATTTTAACTTTTGTGCCACTCCTGCTTCCATCATTAACTTCTGTACTCTCTTTATTATAATATTTAAATACAAACTATATGTATAAAATTTATTTAAAACTGTACTCTGAAAAGTTAGATATTTAATCTTCCTGTCAATAAGAGAATTTTTTTTATAAAGGAATAGTTTAGATACAGAAGAGGTTTTGGTTAATTTTTAATTATAAATGAATTCTGCCTATTTTTCTTTTCTTTTTTTTTCATAGTCATTTCTATGAATTTTATTGTTTAGAGAAAATTTTTTATTTGTAGTTTTATTTATTTATTTATTTTTTTTAAATCATTTAATCCCAAGCATGGTGATAAAGCCACTAAGATGCAAGGGGTTTTTGGGAGTGAAAGAGAATGAGAAGATTTTAGAAGGAACTGGCAACACAATCCTAAACAGGAAACAAGGGATAAACTCCTACTCTTGTTCAAAAAACCTGAGGAAGAGTGCTAACCAGACAAAATATGCAAACGTATCTACTTCTATTGAACTTGTACTTAGAAATTATAAAACCTGTTTTATGAAGGTATTTTTAGGTAACTGCTTATTGCAACTTCTGACCTTGCTATTTGTTTGGCTCAATCCTTTGCTGCTCAATTTTCAAAACTGGAAAATTGTAACATTTGGATACAGTGCATCTTGTAATCCAACAAATTCAGTTGATTTATATTAAAAAGCATAGTTTAACCTTAATTTGGACTTTTATTTCGGAATATTTTTTTTCAAATTCATCGTATTCTGATATAAGTTGAATATACCTATTAATAAATTGATAAATTGATTATTTAAATACAACAGATTAAATGAAGATTATATTGAGTTAATCTTTTAGTTGAGGAGGGCTTGCCTTGAAAAATGCCAACTAAGAGAAGAACACGAGAGAAGTTAAAGTAGGGGGAAACGAAGCCTTTATTCACATGTGTGATACAAGCAAGAGGCCGGAAGCGGTGGTGGCTTAAAATTAACGGTTAGGTAAACCTCTTGAGGGAGGGTCTGGTTAATAGGGAATTACTTAAGGAGTTAAGTAATTACTGGTGCTAGGTTTGTGTCCCGACCTCTGACCCTAGTTAGGGGAAAATCATAACTATCTCGACCATAAAGTAGATCAGCCTTGATATTAACAGATTGTTTGAAAGGAAGAGTTTGTCTGATGGGTGAGTTAGTTGTGTATTTCTCCCCAGTGGTTAGTATTCAAGAAATAATGATTTTCAAGGTAGGCTGGCCCTTTCTCCTTAGAAGACTGGGGCAGCCACATTTTACTCTTACGTCACTGTTAAAAGGGAAATGATGCTTTACTCTTGACCTAAGATTGGATCCAGACATTCTCTTTTTTTATAGACTGACAATAGGAATGAACTTGAAAGAAATATTTTGGCAATCTCTAGACTTTCATACACACACACACAAAAAAAAAAAGTGTTAAAAGGGCAATTTTTCCCTTGACACCACTATTATTTTAACTACCTTCACTCCTTGGCAATGTTTATTATTTTAAAAACCCATAATTAGAATTTTAATAAAACCATAACATATGTAAGTGAATTTGTATGTTGTCGTTGTTCCTCAGAATTGGCAACAAAAATAATAAACACTTTTTATTTATTAGATTTTTTATTTACACTATTTTATTTATTATATTGTTTATTAGTATGATTGGTAAGAGATCAGCTAATTGCCAATCAATTCAAGCTTTATAAAATGCCAAATAATAAGGATTTCACATATTTTAATAATTTAGTAAATGTTTATAAATTTATAAATAAAAAATTGTTTTCATATTTATTTCTCTATATTTTGATAAATGATAAATATTGCATTGCGTTAGTTTTAATTGTATTAGTTTTTAGCATGTAAGTTTTAAAATCATTCTTGTAAATAAACAATCTAATAAATAAATAAATTGTGTTTAATATTTTTGTTGTAAATTCTCAAGAACAAAAAAAAAATTGTATAAATTCGCTTTCATCATATGTTTAGGTTTTATTACAATTCTAATCATCACTTTCTCAAACAATAAATATTGCCAAAGTGTGAAGGGTTTTAAAATATTAGCAGTGTCAAGGGAACATTAAAGATTGACAATTTTTCATTGTTCAAATGACTGGTTTCATCTAAGGAAATTATTATTTTTTTTGTATATTTTGCATGTTGATTCAGACAGACTCTACACACAATTCTATCTTTAATTTCCCTTCAGAGGAGACTGGCTATTTGAGTTAAATAGTTATGTACTTATTGCAGCAATGCTTAACCTTTGTGATTGCATTCAGTGTGTGAAAAGTACAGTTATTTCTTTGACATCGCTATTACTGTATACACTTTTGACTCCCTCAGCAATGTTTATTTTTTAAAAAACGATTATTAGAATTTTAAAACCCAAACATGCGAAAGTGGATTTATACATTTTCTTTATTGAGAAATGACAACAAAGATGTTAATCACTATTTATTTATTAGATTGCTTATTTACAAGAATAATTTTATATTTACAAGATATAATATTTATAAAAATATATGAGCCAAATATTTATTAATTACTATTTTTATAAAGAAATGAATATAAAAAGAAACTTTTTTATTCATAAATTTATAAAATAATATCTGTGAGCAAGAAAATTTACATGAATGCATAACAACAAGTAACTGTAATTATAAATTTTGAAAAAATGCATTTTTTAGGCATTGCTTTCATTTGATCCCACTACATAACTTCACTAAAATAGGATGAGAGCATCTCTTCCTCATTCAAATTTCTTTATAAAATGGTAAATAATAATTATATTCTACTTGGTTCTCACATTTTTATAATCATGTAAATAAACAGCTATGAGTTAATTAGTAGGACTTGTATTTAATTTATGCATTAAAAAAGTCTTACAATCTGTAATGTTCGCTATTTACATTATTCAGACTATTGTCCTCATCTTTGTCGCCATATTTATTACGTTTCAGCCGTTGTACGCTCCGGCCTTCTTCAGGTGGTTGGAATGTCGAACTGAACCCTTTATTTCACTCACTGGGGTAGACTGTTCTAGTTCCACGTGCCATGTTTAATGGATGTCAGTTATCAGTTGTCTCCTGTTAATTCCCCTCTGAAAGTTCTCCACTGCCTTAACCGGGTATTGAACTCACACTCTTTGGGTCCTGTCACTTGATCTAACTAACACCTTTATCCACTGTGCCATGTGTCCTTAATAACTGACATCCATTAAACATGGCACGTGGAACTAGAACAGTCTACCCCATTGAGCGAAATAAAGGGTTCAGTTCGACATTCCAACCACCTGAAGAAGGCCGGAGCATACAACGGCCGAAACGTTGTAATAAATATGGCGACAAAGATGAGGACAATAGTCTGAATAATGTAAATAATGTACATAATACCTCATCTCAGAAATATAGACAGATGTCTGTAATGTTTTATGGCTTAAATTAACTTGCAAAAAGTTGATAAACCATAAAAAAGAAATCGATCATGTATGTCTTAAATATTACATTACATGTTATAAACTTTCCAAAGAAAAAAAATCTAAGACTTTCTTTCAGTTGTTAAATGAATTATTTACCAAATAGTTTACCCATGCTGTCAAAAATGACCACATATTTTGTTAAAGTCTTACTATTATTCTATATTTATTGCTGTAATGATTTTGTTCCTACTGATAGTTTAATAATTACAACCTTGTATTAGATGTCAAATAGAACTCATACATATGATGTATCATTAAAGATGCTGGAAAAATGGTCAGTTCCCTGTACTGCTCCAGTAAGTACCCGACTTCCCCTGCTATCCTCTACCTTTTACAAGAGCCAGATCAGGTCTAAAATGGAGTACTGCTGCCATATATGGGAAGGAGCTGCCCAGTATTCACTTTTCTGTCTTGATAGAGCTTAAAGGAGTATCTGTGCCCCTGTGGGTGATGAATTGTCTTCCACCATACAACCTCTTTCTCCACAGATGAAATGTTGCAAACCTCACTCTACTCTCACTATTTCCATGGAAAGTGTTCAGGCAACCTGTCTTCCTTCATCCTACAAGTTCTAACCTTCATGGCTAAGACCTGCCATGCCACACATTTTGTAGTGAACCACCCTCATTCCCTTTGTATTCCATTTGTGAGGCTAAGTTCCACTCAAACAGATTTGTTCCACAAACCTTTACTGTGTGTAACTGACTCCCAAGAGGATGCTTCCTCGATCAATGCACAATCTTAACCTGGTCAAGTCTAAGGTTAACTGTTTTCTTCCTCACATTTACTCATAAGCCGTGCCTCTTACCTTTTACGCTGTAACTTTCTACTTCACGTGGTTTTTGAGCCTTAAAACACTTTCTTATCAAGCTTGGCAATCTGAATTTCATGAGTCAGTAATTTAATAACATGAGCTACATAATGGATCTATTTGAAAAATTCAATGTGGATAATGGATTACTATTTATCAGAACGACAGGCTTCAGTATTAATTAATGTAGAAAACGTTGATATGCCATAAGAGAAACCAAACCTTATGATTACCAGATTTTTACATGTGTATTTCAAATATATAAATAAATTGCCAGTGTAAGGGAAATATTTCCAGGTAGAAAGTTACAGGCATAAGAGACAAAATCAAAAAACACTTGGCATATTATACCGTAAGATTATAAAGAAATGAAGAGCAGAAACTGTAATGTTTCTAAGAATTTAAGTTACATTTGAAGAAAATGATGCAAAAAAGTCTTTAATTCTTTTTCCTTAATTAGAAAATTTTGTGATGATGCGATATTGCACATCACTGCAGAAACTGAGATGACATCCAAGGTTGTCTTGTATGTGAATACGCCAGGGGCTTCCTATGTTCCACATGGCCGTGATTGATGTCAATAAATAACGACAAATGTTTTTCAAGACACTTGTTTGATTGGGAAGTAGAAAAAAAAAATATGATTTCTCACTTAATCGACAATGTCTTCCTTCTGCTTCAAGAAAGTGGACTACTTTTTTATCTGACTTCTCACTAAGTTTTAGCCACAGAAAACAGACCCCTACACACTGACTGCTTGACCGTTTCACTCACTGCTGGTCCTTTCATTGACCACTTATTATATAGATATTGGCTGGGGGATCTATCACTCCTTTCCTTCCATTTCCAACTGGAAATGGGGACCACCCAGACAACATGGTCAGTCTTTTTCAAAGCACTCTATTCTTGCGGCTATCTAAAATCACTAACAAAATTTTATGTTTGTCAATTGAAAGGTGGATGGCAGACAGGATTCCTGAGAAACCCAGGTCATTAAATTCACTTAAAAGGAAAAAGAATCTATCTATCTATCTATCTATCTATCTATCTATCTATCTATCTCATTCTCGTTCTCTTTCTCTCTCTCTCTTTCTCCTTTCTCTCTCTATCTATCTGCTAAGGATGTGTGAGAAATCGTATTGCTACAGTTTGACTTTCATTGATTCAATTCCACAAAATTTGCAGCCTGTGTTCTGATTGATGGGAGGAGACTTGTAATATGATGTTAAAAATATGGTAAAAGAAAATGGTGATCAGAGAAATAGTATAAATGATATTTTAAAAATATAATTTCTCGTAATATTGCGTGGAGGGTGAAGGAGAAAAGATATAAATCTAATTCTTATAAAATAGCCTCAGACTTTTGTATGGTAGTGTATATTTTTAAAAGAAAGTCAAACTGAAACAATATTTCAATATAGATTAAAAATTCTTGTCTATAAGATTCTTAATTACTACAAATTGTAATATACAAATTGACATTTCAACCTTTTCAAAATCACAAGTTGACTGATAAGCAACGTGTAAAATGTAAACTTGTATTGATGTAAACTTTTCTGGAATCAGATGTTCATTTTGGGCTTGATGATGTTTTTATATATAACAGAAGTCGGTATTATTATTACAATGCCTGTATTTCAGTTGGTGTGGGAGATATATATTTGATGACATGTCTGCTGAATTTTATTGAATTTTCATCAACTTTATAATAAACTGTGTTTAAAAACATTTACCAAACAAGATTTTGGTTAAAGTGATGCACTGTGCATTGGATAAGTTGTTTTGTTATTGTTTCCTTCTGTGGTAAGGTTAAATTGACCTATATGGCAGAGATATATTAAAATTTGAACAAAACATCTTCATGCTTATCTTAACAGAATCAGATTGACCTGTTTACTTGTACATTTCATTTTATAGCCAAGATCGATACTCTCTGAGGACTGAAATGAAAATTTAAGTCAAGTATAATCATAAGCAAATTTAAATGAAACAAAAACTGAAAAAGCTATTTTATTTATTGTTTTCTCAATTTTTTCACCCTCCCCCATCTAATGTTCACTTCATCAAAAGATAATCTTTCCATTTGCAATGACTACATCATCACACAGTGCCTCACTATTGTAGCCTTGTGCCAGATTTGGTTAAGCTTGATAAATATCTACCTGTTAAATAATAGTTAAAATATTCTGCAGGCCATTGCTAGTAAGTTTGATCCTTACTTGGCACTCCTCTATTTTGTGGCCTTGTATCAGACTATACCAAGTTTCATAACTCTTTGCTTAGGAATCTGCTCCAGAGTAATTGTTATGAAACTTGTCTATAGACTATTGCAAGTTGAGTCATTTTTGTCTTTATTGCCTTCCATATTATTAGAGCTCCTACCATAAAGTCAATAAGTTCACATCATTTTGTTCAATTATGGCTAATTAACAAAATCCCTGAAGCACCCAATTTCCTGTATTTATTCCTTCCTTGCTTAGTGATGTTGATTCCCACACCAGTGATCTGCCTCAACAAACAAAAAAACAAACAAACATGTCTAAGTTAAATTTTGTTCAGTAAAAGTTCGGTTAAGCAAAAATGAACATTGTTCTCCAAAAATGAATTTTTCCAATGTAAATTCACATATTTATGAAATTGACTTTCATTTGTTTGGGAACCTGTTCACGCTTAAGAAAATAAAGGTTTTTTTTTTGGGGGGGGGTCAAGAAAAGTGAGAGAATTGATTTACAATGTACATATAATCCCAAACTGGACCCTAACTTTATATCCAACATTGTGACATCAGATATTCAACTTACAGTATCAGCATATTGCTAAACTAGACACTGTGCCTGATTAAAGTCTGACTTCACTGGCATAAAAAGGCTATATATATATATATATATATATATATATATATATATATATATATATATATATATATATATATAGTGTCTGTCTTAATTCTTGTTTTTTTTTATTGTTCTCTCTCCTTAATTTTTTTTTTTTTTTTTTTCTCATATTTTCACTAACACCCCTTTCATCTTAGTGGTTCTATTGCCTTGCTTGGGGTGAAATAATCATTAAAAAATGCAAAAATTCATTGCACAGTTCGGACAGAATGCATTATTAGGGTCCATTGAATTCTGTTTAAAAAGCTAAGAGAATTCTTGAGTCTTTATGAAACAACTTGATAGTATTGAAGTTGAGATAGTAACATTTACAAATATCTAGTTAAATAATTTATGATAATAAGAAAGGGACTAACCACATCTTGACACAAAAAAATCATTAGCTATATAGAAATGTACTTTAGTTCTTTTCAATGGTAAACATATTTTCATCAAATTCAACTCCAAACAGCCAAACCCAAATTCACAACGTGTTTACATTGTAAATTGAACATCTGACATTATGATGTTGGGCACAAAGTGAGGGTTCAGTTTGTCATACTATATAAATTGTATATTGAATACCCACTTTAAAACCACTTTGTTTGGCTCTACTTTTAAACTCTTATTTTCTTAAAAATGAACAGCTTCCCAAATAAATAAAGATCATTTTCATAAACACAACAAGCAAACTACATCATGAAAAAATTTAAAAAAAAAGATTTTATAGTAAAAACTTATTTTAACTATTTGTTCTTTATTGTCATATTTATTTCCCCAAATCAATACCAACTTCACTGACATATTTAAAAAATTCATCACATTCAATTCTGCATATTTATTACAGTTCCCATAAAGGAATCACAACAATCTATTGGCAATGGACTGCCAAAAATGTTTTTGTATAAATAAATATAAATTATATAAGTGTATTAGTGAATTGAAATTAAAGCATGAAAGTAAAGTTGAATGACCTGAATTGATGAGAATGTTTTTGTTTTTTTATATATAAATAAAACAAATATACAAATCAATTTGGTATTTTTTTAATTTTCCACTTGTACTTCTGAATATTGTGGAAGGATGAAAGTGGTTCATTGATTTGATAGATTGCCTCAGTGAGTAAAAGGTCACAGTTTATTAAAGATACTGCAGCCATTTTCCTGACAAAATTAGAAATGGGGAAAATTTTTTTTTTTTAAAAAATTCCATTTATAATTAAAAAAAAAATTGAAATCTTGGTGTAATGTTTTCTCACTGATGACAGCATGATTAACACTGCTGCATGTGATTTGTTTCTAATTTATTCATTTAAATAGACAAAAATATTTGTAAAAAAAAAAAGTAATTATCATTAATGTTTCCTGTTTCTGAAACAAAAGATGTTTACACGTATGATCTTCCTTAGTGAAAATCAACAATGGTTTAAAACGATGAAAACATTACCTTCAACGAAATGTTACAAAATTCAAGAAACATTAATCATTGTTTATTTAAACTTTACTTTCATGTGGTTATGCATGAGAGATCCTGTGAGTGAACAAGTGAGAACCAAAAAAATGTTATTTCCCTTATGAAATTAGGTGTGCCCTTCACAAAGCCAATCAGGCCACAGTTTGCACATGACTGGTTTAAACCATTTAATTCCCTGATGTTGAATGTATTTATAGACTGGCACCACCCTGACAATCTCTTAAACCATCTCATTACTGATCCACCATGAGAAGAATTTTTGCGAAATCCATTGCATTAACTGGTCTGTCAAAAAATGACATCAGTATTTAAATAATTTTGAAACTGCATTGTTTACATTTTCTGCAGAAGTAATTTAGAATTTTTATTTATACAATTTACTCCATTTTGCATGCAAGAAAGAATTCTGCCATTTAGATCCTTGAAAGTAAAAATATACAAAGAAAGCTAACAAAAAAAAATAAAGTGCAATGTATCAGCAGCTTGGTCATGCTACTTGCTAATGAGATTTTCCATTGTTATAGTAATGTGAAGCATGTTTTGTTATTAGTGTAAAGAAATACCTCCTGTTATACCAGAATATCTCAGTAACTAGAGGGGGGGGACAGGCTGTGTGACCATTGTGTTTCATATTAGAACATAGATTATAGACAATTTATTTTCAATGGAGTGAAAAATCAGGTATCCTGCTCATTCTCATATTCTTTGATCTTAATTATTATTCTACAAGTTATTCAGATGACATATTTGTTAATTTGGCATCTCAGTTTCAGTCATTTTCCCACTGTTGTAACATAGCTTCCCTGTGCCTTTTCTATAAATATTTTCATGGTAATTGTTCTGATCAGTTTTCCTTTTCGGTACCTTGACTTTATGAATTTAAGCACAGTACTAGATTATCAGCTAAGTCTCATCATTTTACAGTTGAAATTCCTACATGTAAGGGTAAAATCTTTGCTAACAGATTATTTTCTCGCACTTCTTGCTTGTAGAACTCTCTTCTAGCCTCTTGTCAATTGCTATCTTCTGTTGTAATTTATTGTTTTCTCTCTTTGATAGTTTTTCTTTTTTTTGATATTCTTTCACACTCAGTAACCCCTTGCATATTAGTGACTTTATTGTGTAGTGAGCCCTGATGAAAATAAAATATATAAACAAAAATAAAAAGAATTCAAATTAAAATAAGGAATTTATGCTTTCTTTTAAAAACCTTATCTCTTTCTATTTATATATTGCATCTTTGTTTATATATTTTATTTTCATCAGGACTGACTACATTTGCCTTGCTTGGGGTGAAATGATTTAAAAAAATTATTAGGGTTGCAACAACAAGCCTCGTATTTGTGTAGAATTCAGTGCAATGTGAAGATTGGTGCTCATTAAAAACTGTCATTCAAATAATAATTTTATTGCCATTTTAACTATCTTCAATACCTTTTTCTCTCACCCACATATTTGTTTACCTCTTCATTACTGACTTTAGTACTTTTATTGAAAAAAAAATCTCTATTATACAAATGAGGGTAGCTTAATGGTTAACAATATGAAAAAAGGGAACCAGCATACTGAGTTTAAAGTCCAAGGGTCGGAACAAAGTCTTGCTAAGAAATGTATGGCTACCCACCTGCTTGATTCAAAGCTTGACCACTGTGTTCAGCACCAGATGGTCTTTGAGAAGAAATCAGGCAACATGTCATGGGCTTTATTGGTTATAATCCCGAGGGTCATTGCAGATTACATAAATTTGGTGTGAATCATAAGGGTTACCTTATAACACTTTTAGTTTATGCTAAAGTATATGATTCACCTATTGTTAGAAAAGATAAATTTAATATTCAGAGTATTATTCTACAATGATGGTAAGCCACCATAGATCTGCAATAAATGTGTGTCTGTACATATGCTAATTTTATATCTTGTGTATGATGCGATCCTCTTCTACTTAGCTTCAAAATTAGGTCTTCAAAAGTCACATGATACATGAGTATATACGGTAATCACTATTTATTAGATTGCTTATTTACCAGAATAATTTTATATTACAACATCCTTAAAATTGTATTAAAACTAATGCTATGCAATATTTATCATTTACTAATTTATAAAGAAATAAATATGAAGAAAATGTATAAATTCAATTTCATCGTATGTTTACGTCTTATTAAAATTCTAATCAAAGCTTTTTAAAACAAACATTGTTGAGGAATGAAGGTAGTTAAAATGATAGTGGTGTCAAGAAGAAAAACCAACCTTTTGACAAACCATTTTTTGTGTGCACAAAGGAGGTCTGACTTTGCTGGTTCTTCTTCCTCAATCAAATTATTGGTTGATTATTTTTATGCCTTATCAATTCTGTGAATTAATTAAAGACAAAAGATTATTTTCGATTGTAAGAATAATTCTTGTTTTTAAGTGACTATTCCATTAACAATTTTTTTTGAGAATAATATTCATTTTTCAAATATAAAACCTACTATTTAACCCATAGATAGATTTATACCTTTCACAAGGGTATTTGTGCATAAGTAACTGGAATTTGAACTTGGTCAGGGTGGAGTAATGGATAGCGGCTTGGACGATTTGAGGCATGATGAGGAATTTCTGTACAGTAAAAAAGGTAACTAACCAAAAATAAGTAAGTTCATTTTCAGATTCAGCACTCTAATATTAGCTAAAAAAAATGTTTGATGTCTTGACACCATTTCAAAAAAATTTATATTTGTTGACTAGTGTTATAAATCTTTTTAAGAAATATTACAAATTCTGCAACACCGTGGAATTTATACAGTTTAAAATAGTTTTGTTGAAATTAGTTCAAGTTAAATGTTATATGAAAATAAAAATTTATTCTCACATGGGAAAATTTCAAGTCTTTAAATTAGGTTTATTCACTCAAACTAAAGGTTTAAGCATAACATTTCAGCTGGTTAATTTTCCAGGTTTATTCTAAATGATTTTTATTTTTCCATCAGAATATTTTTTTATTCTTAAAGTTAACATGTGCTTCCTTAAAACAACTTAAATAAAATCTGTAATAAAATTATTAATCAGAATAACTTTCGAGTTACATTTTAAACAGGCTAATTATAATTTCTAAGCCTCAAATCTGAGGCAATTTTTAATTTTTATAATTGGTCTATTTTCATAACCGAAAACTTCAGTGTTCCAGGCACGTACTCACTGAGACAGTAGACATGACCCGACAAGGACGCATTTTTTAAAACATGGCGAGTTGTTTCCCTTACACTCGGTTATTTTCGTGTATCTTCGAAAAGATTCTTTTTTTCTTCTTTTTGTCTACCTTTTTTGACTTTCTTAAAATATCTCACGAATGTAACCAACCGAATATCGCAAAAGAAACTGAAGATGTATTTTTAGTCGATCTCGTCGAATTAGGACTCAACTCAACCTATGGCAGCACGTCATCCGTAAGGTTTGGTTTATCAACGGATTAAAAAAAGGTAAGTCCGAAAATCTTAAAACACCGTGTTTATTTTGGCATTTCAATCAACATTTGTTTTCTAACAAACCCGATGTAGATTAGTTTTTCGGTTTCAAGGTTTATCGTTCAAACCATTTCTTTTACCAGGTGCAAAAAAAAGTTAGAGTATTATTATTATAATTTAGCGTTTCAAACTTCTGCGTACCAAATATTGATTTACCTCCCTTACACTTATCGACTTTATTTTTTTAATTAGCCTCATATTCTGAGCGCCTTCGGAAGATATTTCAATGTTTCTTATGTGGAAGAAATCGTTTGGAATAGCAACACTAAAATAAATAAAAAATAGCCAGAAGCTAGAAAATGGCTTATGGCACCAGAGCAGACCCGACCAAATCAGAATGTATTGTATAGTAAGCCTGAAAGAGTGAAAGATAGCGTAGTTATGAGAAGGGGAAAATGTTCCAAGAAGTTTAAAACAAGGATACTTTTTCTTCCTGTGGGACTTAGCCTCAATAAATATATTCCAATATTGTAAACTGTAATATATCCGAGCATTTTTCAGTTTTTATTGACGGAAAAAAAAACTGAAAATAAATTGTATTTTGGATGTTATTTTCGTCTTATTTCTGATGCACGATTTTTCATATCTAAAAGACTAAAAGAGGCTTAGAATACGAGGGTAGTTTAAAAAAAAAAAAAGGAAAAATTCTAAGGGAAGTAAATCAGTATTTGAACCGCTAAATTGAACATTAACAATACCCAAATTTTAGATGCTGCAAGTAAAAATTACCTACTCAGGTCAGACTAGAAAACAGTTTCGTTGTCAAAAATTTAAAAAAAAAAAAAAGAAAAAAAATGGAGTAAAACATACACAACATTTAGATATAAATTGTTGGTATTTATATTCACAGTATTACTATTAAGCACAAGAATTAATAATTTTATCACTTAACGTCCTTCAATATAAACAACAAATTTCCAAACAATTTTCAAAAACCTTTTTTTAGAAGAATTTTAGACCAAATTTCATTAGGAAACAAAGAAAAGAGTTCTCAACTTCTATGTAACATCAATCCTCCTCTATGGTAATGAATTCTGAGAAATTTCCTCACAGATGAAGAGGAAACTTAGGGAAATAGACATGTGGTTCTACAGAAGGATGCTGAGGATACCATGGACAGAATGTGACCAAGGAAGTTTTAAGGAAAATGGAAACAAAAAAAGACACTTGTACTTAGAATACGATACAGTTGAAATTTCTGAGATATATAATGAGAAAAGAAGGCTTGGATAATTTGATACTCACAGGAGTAGAGAGAAACTGACTAACTTACCTAATGAGCTTGTGTAAATGGATGGCAGACCAGGGACTGGAAGGAATTGTAAGAAGACAAGCATTATTTAGAGCTAAAAAGGATAAGAAGTTGTGGAGAGCCATGATCAACCTACTTAATGAGCTTATATAAATGAATGCCAGAACTGAGACTGGGAAAGATAGTAAAAGGACAAACATTGCTAAGTTATGAATGTGGAGAGCTATGTTCCCCACATCTTGAAGGAACACAGCACATAAAAGAAGACTGAGTTCAGAAGATTGTATTGCATTAGTTTTCCAATGGTGATTCCCTGTATGCCTTGAAAATTAGCATTATTGAAAATGTGTAACAGCAGCCTTTTAGTTATTAATGAAATAAACAGGAGTGACTAAAGAACAAATGAAGATAAGATGTGGTTGAGATAAATAAAAGGATTTTTATTTCCTGTAATTATCAAGGTTCAATTGTTTGCTCGTTCTGGGGTATTGTATATCAGTCATGTGCTGTTGAGTGAGATAAACATGTGGGAGAAATACTCAAGGATTATTACCTTATTGTAGCTGTGAATTAGTCTCTGCTGCTTTCATCACTTGTAGAAGGCATCGCTGTTAAAGGAAGCACTTTGGTACAATTGCTGATAACCTCTGGTTAAGTTTACCTTCCGTTGCTAATGCCAGCTAAGTCAGATTTGCCTTCATGGGTGAAAATGGCACTGATTTTATAGTCTGTAAGTGGCTCAGAATGGCTGCTGTGAAAACCATGTGGGTCTTTTTTCTGATTGGTCAAAAAAGATGTTTTATGACCCTGGTATTTTGGACAGTATTCTGGAAGTGGGTGCGCAGGGCTAAGCGAAATTAAGGTCTGTTTTTGGCATATGAGCACTTCCATTGGAGTTCTGAGATCTCAAACACTGAAGCTGGTTGGAAAAGCCCAATGATTTCAACGTCTTTATCCACTAGGCTATGTGTCCTTGAGGACATCTGTGTATAAATTTTTGGGACTTATAAACTTAATATCTCAGCAAACATTGCCAGCCTCTCCAGTTCTGTGATGTTTAATTTGGATGGCTTAGCATTCTCCAGTGTTTGTCTCACTTTCCATCTGCCTGAGCTTGAGGGAAGTTCAAGGCTATTTTCTCGATTCCAGCAATAATGTCCAAGTATGGTATCTATGGCGAAGTTGAAACTCTTATTTAGTAATGACTCCTCAGCTGGTGTTGACTGATGGACACTGTGTGTCGCCTTCTGATATTTCCATTTACTTGGCAGACCTTGACAGCATCAAATTCATGTCTGAAGTATTTATTCGAGTCATGATTGATCATGTTTCGGTCTTTTCCATCAGTAATTCTGTTGAAGAATGCCTCGAGTCTCTGGGAGATATCAGATTGTAATTTCTGTTTTATCCAACAGTTGTACAGGATTCTCTCCCGGACAAGGCTGTGTCCCACTTTTTTTGTGACCAGAGGAGCTCTCCTTGAATTGACAGGGAGTCTTGGTGCCAAGCTTGAAGGAATGAGTCATAGGAATATCAGATGGTTTGAAATTTGTACCAGCTTCTGGTGAGACTTTTCTAGTTATCTCCATATTTTTGGTATATTGGGTCCATACTGATTTTTCAATATCTGTCTATATCTCTGAGATGAGGTATTATAATTACTTACATTATTTGCATTATTCAGACTGTTATCCTCATCTTCATTGCCATATTCACAATGTGTCAGCCTCTATATCTCTGAGATGATGTATTATAATTACTTACATTATTTGCATTATTCGGACTGTTATCCTCATCTTCATTGCCATATTCACAATGTTTTAGCCATTGTACGCTCTAACCTTCTTCAGGTGACTGGAATTTCAAACGAAACCTTTTTTTTGTCTACAGGTAAAGTTAGACTGCAAGAACATCGTAAAGCAGTAACACAAGGGGAAATAGAAAAATCAGGCATAGCTGACCACATATGGAGGGAAAAGGGTGATCAATGCCCCCTGTTGGAATAGACAGAGAACATCACTGAAAAATGCAAAAACTTAAGGAATCAGCACGTATGCGAGGCCACAAAAATCTCCTGAGCCGACCAAGCATAGATATGAATACAATATAGGAACCAGTAATAAGGAGTGCTAGAGAAAAGCAATGACTAACAACAAAAGCTCCGATAAAAACTGCAATAATAATAATGACAGAAAAATTTCAATATGAGCACTGGTAAAAATGGTTGCTGAGATATTAGGTTTATAAGTCCCAAAAATTTATACACAGATGTCCTCAAGGACACAGGGCCCAGTGGATAAAGATGTAGGTTACTAGTGAGTAGACCCAAACAGTTGTGAGTTTATTACCAGGCCACAGCAGTGGTGAACCAAACTTGGAGAGAAGAGGCATGGCATGTGAACCTAGAACAATCTACCCTGGTGGACGAAATAAAGGGTTCAGTTACAACAGCCGAAACATTGTGAATATGGTAATGAAGATGAGGATAACAGTCCAAATAACATAAATAATGTAAGTAACCCAGTCTACCCTGCCATTTAACCCATAGGTGGGGTGATTGTTGGTTATTTATTATAAATCCTCCCTGTGATATTATAGACGATATTGCATAGAGAGTATTAGAATATTCTAAAAAATATAAACACAATGAAATTGTTGATTTCAATTGTCATGAAAATGAATTTAGTTTTTTATTGTGTATTCAGTCTTTAGTTTCTAAAGATTGCTGGAAACTTTTGTATGTACTTAGTATAGTTCATAGAATTAAATTATATGGAAAATCAAATTGGCAATTACAGCTAGGAAAAATAATGTCACTTCTGTGGAGTTGAATCATCCACATTTCTTCTATGTTCCAAATATAAGATAGTGGTTTATCCCTTGTTTCCTGCCTAGGATTGGGTGTCCGGTTCTTCTAAAGTCTATTTCATCCCTATAAGTCTAACGTCCCCATCTAAAATCTCTAATTTTATTTACTATTTATTTTAATTTATAATATAAAAATCTTTTTTCCTCCATAGGAGTAGATAGGTTCATCAAATGTCTGGTTCACACTCTCTCCCAGTCTTTTGAACAGGAGTAGGGGTATATCCCCTGTCTCCTGTTTAGGACTGGGTTTCCTGTTCCTTTGAAAGTCAACTTCAACTCTAGGCTTTTAATATCTCTGCCTAAATGCTGAAATTTTATCTACTATTTATTTTTTATTTTCTTCCTCAATAGTAGATAGGTTTGTCTATTGTCCAATTTACATTCCTCCTTGTTTTTGTCTTTTTTTAACAGAAATAACAGTTTATCCATTGTTTCCTGTTTAGAATTGGGTTTCCAGTTCCTTTTAAAGTTTTCTCATTTTCCTTCATTCCCCTTATGCCTCAGTGGCATAAGGGGAATGAAAGAGAATGAGAAAAAGAAAAAGTATGCTTTACTTGGGGTGAATTGATTAAAAAAAAAAAAGGATGAAAATTTCACTTAAGCTTTTATCAAAGAACAACCACTTCATGGGAAAGACACATGTCAAGATATTTCCTTGAACACTACAATCTTAAACACTTCAAGTCAAAGATCACTCATTATCTATCCTCCTTATCCTCATAATCTTTAATTTCTACCACCTTCTCTTTGTGTCGCGCACCTCACTCATTGAGTCTAACCCTTCTCTTCCACTCATGTCGCACACCTCACTCATCAACTCTAACGCATTTCTTCCACCAGTGTCGCACACCTCACTCATTGACTCTAACCCTACCACTCATGTTGCACACCTCTCTTACTGACTCTAACCCTTCTCTTCCACCCGTGTCACCAACTCTCACCCTTCTCTTCCACCTGTGTTGCACACCTCACTCATCAACTCTAACCCTACCACTCGTGTCGCACACTTCACCCATTGACTCTTATCCTTATCGTGAACTTGTGTCGCACAGTTCATTCATCGACTCTAACCCTTCTCTTCCGCTCATGTCACACAACTCACTCATCGATTCTTACCCTTGTCGTCCACTCATGTTGCACACCTCACTCATCGACTCTAATCCTCTACCTTTAATGGCTGATGTTTGAAAGAGTTATCTGCACTTTATTTTTATTTACAAATGTGAAGTTTGAATCTATTTTCATGCCATTGATACCGATGTTGTCATTTTTCCCAATTCCGGATTTTTCTCATTTTTTAAACAATTCCTTTTTTAATTTTTTTAAATGTTTTTTGAAAATCTTTTCATTTGGGGTTTTCTTGGAGACACTTGCACAGTGGGATAATAATCATTTATTTTAAATTCTGTAACATCCAGTGATTTAATTATCTGAAAAAGTTATTCACTGCAAGGCTAATTAACAACCCAATTCCAGTACAGGTAACTCTTTAAAAATTCAGGAATTGATTTTGACACAGTATTTGCATTATGAACATTACTAAAATACTTATAAAATCAATATTTTTCAATTGTGACAACTGTTGTGAATAGAGAACAGTCGAATGAATGCTAATCTACAAAAATTATTCTAAAACACGTTTTACAAGCAGACCAGTTAACCTCAGTAGTGCCAAAAAAAAAGTAAAAAAAATATCTCTAGCAAAGGCACAAACCCACTTCTCCCTGCACTTTCTTCTATCATGACGAATCTTGACAAAAATGTCTTGACATAGTTGGCAGAGAAGAGTGCAAACCACTCTCCCATGATTAATTTATATGTCCAAAGAGTAGCAGAAAAATGCTGTTATCCCATTGCTAAACTTGACAGGGACTAAAGAAAACTATTAACAGAAAATAAATATTGCTTTCTTCTTTTTAATTTCTAGGTTGAGTAAGTGCAAAGTGGTGGGTGTTGGTTTTTAAATCAATTCCAAGCCATTCTGCAGATGATTCTTCATTTGGATCAATATTGTTTAATGACAATTCCAAAGAATTCTTCAACATGTTCCGTGCTAACCGAAGAACCCATGCCGAAGGAAAGGCTTTCCTCCTTGTGATCTTCATTTTCTTTTTTTGGTATATGTTCCAGAGGCAGAATTTGGAACCAACAGCCAGCGCCATGAGATATTCCTCAAAGGAAAACAATGAAAGTGACATAGAATTTAAACATTTTTTCAAAATTTTCAGATTTGGACTAAACAATAATCAGGAAAACCAAAAAATGATTATATCTGGAAGTGATGGCAAAAGTCAAACTGAAGAAGAAAAATAAACAAAAGAATCTTGAAAGGAATCCAACTTGTACACCCTAAAAAACAATGACAACAAAATTGTGTGGCAAGGTTTAAAATTAATAACCAAGAGAAAGAAAATCCTGTAGATTTACATTAAAATTTGAAAAATGAGGTCTAGTCTTTGGAATTGGCAAGCTGGTATTCAAAGAAACAGCCATATATTTTATAATCACTATCTTATTTTACCAACATGTCAAGACTAACTATAAACAAAGGTGATTTATATAGATTCCTGTCTTGTAATAAAAAGCAAGAAACATTCTGCAGTTTGTATGAGAACTTTTCTACGAAAGAAGTGTTTTGATTTTATGAAAATAAATTTTTAAAATTCCATTTTGTCCTGTTTTTAAATTTTTATTTTGTGCAACAACAACAAAATTTTTTAATAAAAATGTAAATTTAGAAATCTTTTTTTTCTTAATCAATTCACCCCAAGCAAAGTGAGAATGCCACTATTATGCTGGGGTGGGGATTGGGGGCTGAGGTTACAAAGAGTGAAAGTGAAAGAAAAGGCTGGGTATGGGGGGGGGGATTAAGGAAAGAATAAAAGATGAATGAGGTTCAAGACAACAGACGATGGCGATTGACATTGCATTTAAATTTTTAAAGATTGTAGTTTTCAGGGAAGCAAGTAAATGGGAGGGTGTTCCACTGTTGGGAAGTGTGAGAAAAGAAACTGCTGGAGTAGAAGCGGCGGTTATATTGAACAAATTCAACAGTAAAAGAGTGGGACCTAGATGCCAGTCTAGTAGCATGTTTAAATTCATGTAGTGGGAGCACCAGGGAAAAAAAGCTTGTCCGAGCAGTAGCCATGAAAATATTTGTAGAAAAGCCAGAAGGAAGCCTAAGAAGACCTATAGGAAGAATGAATCTTCTATACATCATATAACTTTTATTAAAGTATATGGTTATAATTGTTGTATATTATTATGCCCAATATGATCTATAGTAAAAAAAAAATCTTCAATCTGTCACATAACTTTTATTACACCATATTGTTATAGTTGTTTATTTTATTATAATTTGTTATAATCACTTTTGTGCTTAATATGATCTACAATAAGAATGTATCTTCCGTCACATAACATTTTTACAGTATATTATAATCATTATTTTATTGTTATTTTTGTCAATTTCTTGTGTCTAATTTATAAATGAAACTTTATTATAGGAAAAAAACATAGTATATATAGTGTGATTGGAAATTATGCAAATTGACTGCTTGCAATGGAACTGGGTGTTTTGGGGTGCATAACAAGGTAATCATTGTTATTGTGATCAGTTCTTTATTTTTTTTTCTTCTTTACCAAGAGACTGCAGATTTCATTGACTGTCCAGATAAGGATTCTTACTACCAAAAATCTACCTGCTTGGATTACATACAGGGTTTAGTGCTATTTGCTAGGAGTCTTGGAATTTATCTTACAGGTAAGAAATGGATATATTCCATAACTCCTTTTGAATGGATTTTTTATCCAACATTATTTTTCATTACTATAAACAATATTTTTAATGGTACATGTATTTGATTTACAGAACAGGGATAGCAAATACATGTACCCTCTCTAAAAATAATGTTTCTAGTAATAAGATATATATTAGGTTGAATTGCAAAATAATATCGTTTTTGACGTTCAACTTCAAAAGATCATAACTCCTTTCATAATAAACTTTATTAAAGAAACAAGAACCATTAGAATCGACATATTTTTGCCAACGAGAAACAAGTTTATTTATCCCATTAGCATAGAAATCCAGAGTTCTGGAACCAGTATGAAGTCATTGAAGGATGATTCGGCATCTTATCGGCTTTTGAAATTTTTTAAGCGCAGGGAAGTTATCGAGATGCTTGAAAAAGTGATAATTATTTAGAGGTCCAATTGAATAAAGGCGATGAGCAGAGTCTTTAGCCCAATTTTTCAGCTTCTGCAGGGTCAGTTGAGCAACATGCAGGGCGGCGTTGTCATGGAGGAGAATTGGTCCTGATATACTGACCAAAAATAATCGTTGAAGCTTCTGGTGCATTTCGTCAATTTGTCGGCAGTACTTCTCCGCTGTAATTTTCGCCTCGATTCAAGAAGCTGTGATGGATGAGACGCCGCAGACCACCAAACAGTCACCATAACCTTTTTTGGTGAAAAAATATGGAAGTTTTGAGGAAACATCCAACCACTATGCCCGAACTCGCCCGGTTGTTTAGAGGATCCATTTCTCATGTGCGTCAAAAGCGCTTTTGAGAAATGGGTCGATTTTGTTGGCGCAGAAAGAGCGTAGAAGAAACCTCAAAACGACGATTTTTTGATTATCGTTCAATCTGGCGCGGCACCCATTTATCCATTTTTGACGTGTTTATTTGCTTTAAAATGGCGAACGACTGTTGAGTGGTCGACCTCAAGTTCAACAGCAACTTCTTGTGTGGTTTTTAGGATCGGCTTCAATTAAGGCTTCCAAATGTTGCCTTATCAACCGCATTCGACCCGCCTGACTGTCTTCATCTTCGAGGCTTTCGCCACCATTGCGAAATTTCTTGAACCGCCGTTGTGCCACACGTTCGTTAGTGGTTCCTGGGCCAAACACATCATTGATATCACGAGTTGTCTCGCAGCTTTTTCGCCTAGTTTGAACTGGAACAAGAAAATCGTGCTGATTTGAATTTTGTCCATGCTGTCGAAAAGCCTGCAAAAAAATGAATGAAGAGATTGAGAACGGTAACGAATAACACGATTCGATAGAGCGAAAAACGCACTTCAAAATGATATATAACATGGCTATATATATCAAAGAATTAATTCAGAAATCATATATAAAAGTAACATATGTGAGAAAACGACATTATTTTTGCACCAACCTAATATTATGAAATAGGCTAAATCTGACAATCTATATCTATAAAACAGAAGATGTCTGTGTGCGTGTATGCTATTTATGCACATCCACATCAACCGATTTCAATAAAATTGTACACATGTTACAAATTTACCAAGATAGGTCAAGACCAACTGTTCAATCTTCAGGCCGTCCCCCCAGGTTTGGCAGAAAAATCAATAAAACTTTTTTGCAAAAACTAAGGCAAAGTTACACACAAACAAAATTCTTACTGGATGAGTTGATGTTCTTTGCACTTAATGCAAAACATCAACTCATGTTATGAGGCTTATGTAGAGTGCTTGATAGTTTTCCTGCAACATTGGCTTCACACAAAAAATTGCAAAAAAAAATCAGGTTTTTTGTACCACTTAAAACTTGAATAACTTCCTCATTTTTTATCCAATTTTCTTCAAACATGTTGCAAAAACTTTGCCATCATGCAAGAAATAAGAGAGTGTGGTTCTAGTCCTGCTTGCTTCCCCACATATAATGAAAAACCACCCATTCAAAAAAGCCTGTTTTTTGGCCAAAATTCCCTGATTTTTCATCTGATGCTTTCCAAATTTGCCATGTGAATTACAAAATGACACACAAATTGTCCTGTGTGAATGTTTGGTTTAGATTATTTAAGTGGATGAAATCTGTGACAAACTAGGTTCAAAATCTGCTTTTGCCATTTAGCCAGTAGTTTATGATTCCATCCTAAATTGGCATTTGAACAATCTATCTATCTATCTATCTATCTCTCTCTCTCTCTCTCTCTCTCTCTATATATATATATATATATATATATATATATATATATATATATATATATAAATTAAATGTAAATATAAAAGTGATTGAGTCAACATCAGAGGCAACAGGCTGTTACAGTTATAGTCAGGCCACCTTGATTGCATGGCAAACAAGCATGAAACAACATCTGTCACTTTTATATTACATTGACTCTGAATTTCATGCACACCTTATTTATATTTCTTTATATATATATATATATATATATATATATATATACATATATATATATATATATATATACATATATATATATATATATATATACATACATATATACATATATATATATATATACATATATACATACATATATACATATATATATATATATACATATATATATATATACATACATATATATATATATATACATATATACTAATACATATATATATATACATATATCAATATACATCTATACATATATCTAAAAGACATATATACATACATATATATATATGCATATATATATACAAATATATATACACATATATATATATACCATATTTTTTTATTATACATATATATATACATATATATATTTATACATATATTTGTACATATATATAACATTTAATATACATATATATATATTGTATACATATATATATATATACATATATATATATACATATATATATATATACATATAATACATATATATATATCCATATATATACATATATATATATATATATACACATATATAGATTACACATATATATATGCTTTAAACTCTGTTACAGTCTGGAAAAAAGGGACATGTATATATATATAGCTGTTCTATATAGTTATACATATATATACATATAATACTTCATTGATTTGACATCTTGTAAAGAGTATAATATTGTAGTATATATATATGATGGAATCATATATTTTCTAGTATGTAATATGCATATGTTGACCATTTTCTACATATATA